AGTAAATGCTGCATGAATCATCTGCCCTTACTCAAGATGGTCATGGCTAGAAATGCTAGGGGAGTGTTATACAAAGTGATTTCTCAACAAAATAAAACATGGAGCTATAGATTGATGGATGAGTTTGCTTTGAATATCAAAAATATATTAAATAGCATTTTCAGTTTGTGGTGTTCAGATGTATTTAAGTTCCACTTTAACCTGACATGTCTTGCAAGCCTGAAGGATTTAACTATCAAAGAATTCATCTTGACATGATTTGCAGTTGTGACAGCAATTTAGCACTTCAGGAAATCACCGTGCTGGCAAACTTCTGAACAACCTAACATCCATACAGGTACATACAGCACAGTATAACACACATGTACTCAAGAAAACCACAAATGTGGATGTGTTGGGCTGCATTGAAAAACATGATGTGTTTTTTCATGCATTCAGGCACTCTGAGAGCTACCGCCTAAATGCACAAAAATATATGTGTATGCATTATTGTAGGCAAAGGTGTGAATGGGCCCTAAAATCTTCATTGCAAAAAACAAAGGAGCCTGAGCAAACAGTTTAGTGTGCATAGCTTACAATTGATGACTACTGGATAACTGAGGCCCTTACCCTGGAGAGTTCACAGATATTGAAATACATTATAGCTGGAGCTTGCTTTTATTGTGTAACTACTGTACATTATCCATCTTGGATACCTTTGTTATTTGCTGAGCTTTAAATGCATGACAAATATCCATAAAACACACAACCTACTACTATGCAATTAATCTATGTGACTTTTTCTCACTTTGTGGAAACATCAAGTTTGGAACATGCATTGGGAGTTAGGAGCAAGTGAGCAGAATCCAGTTTCTAGCGATATTAAACCTAAAACCATAAATGTAATATATTGCAGCTTACCAGGGGCGGACTGACAACTCATGGGGCCCCCGGGCAATAGGGGATCATGGGGCCCCTGTGTCCTTGCCCAAACTCAGAAAAGCCTATGAAAAAGGTACCAGGGGCATCTCATGGGGCCCCCTACTGACCCTGGGCCCTCAGGCAGTGCCCGAGTTTCCAAATGGTCAGTCCACCCCTGCAGCTTACAAATCCTTAGTTGTGGCAGCTGCATTCATTTTCTTTTTCCTAGCTTTCTCCCTCTGTTTTCACCTGATCTAGCCAGTGACACACCCCCTGAGTTAGAATGCCTCCACTCTGGATGAAGGAGCACAGGGGCACCTTTGGACAGCAGCATTGTCAGTCTGGGGTGGGGCAGTGTTAGGCTCCCTGTACACGGGACACTTCTGAATGATGGAAACTGACTGCTGGAATATGTAGGTTAAAAAACGTCTATTTAGCCTCGTTTGCATACCGCGTTTATGTTTATGAGAGTTTGCGTTTAGAAGTGTTTTTTAAAGATAACCTCAGGAGACCTTCCAAAATGCCCAGAATGCAATGAAAAACAGTAAAAAATTAACTATTTCAGACATTTTGAGAAAAATAGAGAGAGCAGAGGCAGGGAGCAGTATTTGTTGAGATTAGCTGTCTTTTATTTGTGGTGTTTGGATGTGTTCCAGCTAATTTCTGTGCAGAAATTATTGCAGCAGTGTCAAACATATTTTATTTCATGCAAAACCTGAAAAGTATGGTGTACTAGGTCCATTTGAGTAGCGGGAAAACGTTTTGCGTGCATTTTTCATGATGAAAAAAGTGTCTGCACAGCATCTGGAAATGCAAGAGTAAAAAAAAAATTTCAAACGCAAACGCCTTTAAACGCAGTTAGCCACGTTTACACGCGTTTACAAGCGTTTTGTGTTTGAAACGCTGATAAAATCTACTGCTGAACGCAAGTTTTCTGCGTTCTAAAAAACGACTGTAAACTCAGCTGCCTGTAAACGACTGTAAATAACGATGCGTATATGAACACATAGGAAAACATTAGGGAGAGTTCAGAGGCTGCTGAAAATAACGCTCAACAGCTCCTAAACATTAGTTTATCAGCTGCAAGGTGCATGAGCCCTTAGATGTACTAATAGATTTAGATACACTATCTAACTGAAGCTGAACTCCAGCTCACACTGCAGTTATACAAGCAGTTGAACCAGCAGTAGTTTTTTCTTTTTGGATAAAGGTTATACATAAATAAATAAAAGTTTATTATTTTAAGCACCCGTCAGTGGTAAATGGCTTGTCTCAACATTCTTAACTGCGACATTTGCAGGAGAGCTTGTTCTGTTGGAAAACAACAGACGTGTTGACTGGATCACCAGATGAAAATAAAGGAGAGAACTTAAGGGCTCGTTCACACTTGACTTTATCTTTAACTCTTGCCAAATGCCCCTATAGCGTTTGACAAGCGTTAGACAGGTGTTTGTGAAGTGTTTTTAACGCTCCGCAAAAACGCTCCCAAAGTGCCCTATGAGCAGTTTTGAGGCGGTTGATAGGCGTTTGCCAAGCATTAAAACCGTACCATAATCGCCTATAATGAAGTTTAAATGGTATTAACGATCCGCAAACACCTCGCAATCGTGTCGCAACCGCATCGCAAACGCCTATAATGAAGTTTAAATGGTATTAACGCTCTGCAAATGCCTCACAACCGCATCACAACCGCCAGCCAGGCGTTTGCAGAGCAGCACCATAGACTTGAATGGGAGGTTTCAACTCCTCCTGACCAGAGGCGTCAGTTTTGCCGCGACGCTAAATGCTTCTGTGTGAACAGCACTGTGTGCTGCCATGTGCAGAATTTTCAGAGGCATTTGAGAAGCTTTAAAAACTCTTCCCAAATGCCTGTCTGACGCCTGTTGACAGAGCTTGTGTGAACGTAGCCTTAGAAAGAATACTAATGAAGGCATCACGTCTAAGCCCTGGTTCACACTGAATGCAGCTTTGAAATTGCGCTACTTTAATTGAAGTAGCACAATTTCAGAGCCGCAGGCCTGTGCAATTTCATGTGCGGCTTGCGTGACATCTGTGTGACTTCATGCACAGATGTCTATGATTATTATTATAATACAGGATTTACATAGCACCAACATTTTGCGCAGCGCTTTACAAAATGAACGCAGACATTACAATTACAATACAGTTTGGTTTAAGAGGAGTCAGAGGGCCTTGCTCCTAAGAGCTTACAATCTATGCAAGTCACACATGAAATTGCAAAAAATAGTGCAGCAACCTTTTTTCAAAATTGATGCGGCACCGCAAAGTCGGAATAGTGCCAAATTTGAACGGTTCCATAGTCATAAATAGGGTGTGACTTGTCATGCAATTTTGAACTGTCAAATCAAATGACAAGTCACACCGGTGTGAACCAGGGCTAAGAAATGGTAAGATGCAATATAATAAACATTTGTTTTTAGGTTTAATACCACTTTAATTCCCTCAGCATAAATAAACAGCAGAGGAATCTTGGTCAAGAAAACACAGTGTCAAACGTTTCTAAAATATCTATTTACTAATGTGTCAGTCTGCGTTTATTCTTGTATTTAGTCACTAAAATGCAGTGTAATGACAGCTAACAGCTACAGCGATTCCCTCCACAAATCAGCTGTCATTGCAGAACATTTTCACTGACTAAATATAAAAGTATAAAGGCAGACAGTTAGTAAAAAAAGATATGCTAGACATTTCTGACAGTGCAGCTAAATGGCCAGGAATCCTCTGCAGTTCAAATTAATTACTGAGGGATTAACTGGCTGATTATAAAGCCTAAGGGCTGGTAACAAAGGGATTAACATACCAACATATAATACAAGATAGTAATAATACTACAACATATATTAGTAGCAAATGTTTAAATATAATAACTAATAGGTTTGAATGCAATTTTTAAACAGGATTTACAGAGATTTTGTAACTATGCCCATTCAGGGCATTTCCTCATCAAACGTTTATTAATTTCTATTATGACAATCTGACATTAGTTCCTGAACTGTGTACATTCTATCAACATTAATTCCCAAAAGTTGTTACATTTGGAGGAACCCCTCTGCTTGCTCTGAATACCAGACCCCAAAACTGCTGAGCCTGACAACAGTTGCATGTTATAACTACTACTCTTCAAGCAGAGCTAAACTCCGCAATACTTACCTATCCTTCAGTGGTCCAATGTCCCTCGCCGGCATCCTCTACCCGGCTTCTTCCCGGTGCCAGATGCCGAGCTGCGGCAGTCGTCCTCAGCCAGCACAGGATAACATCACTCCTGCAGGAGTGCAGTCATCTCGGTACACAGATACTGTGTCTGAGCCAGGGGTGGACTGACAACTCATGGGGCCCTCGGGAAATAGGGGATCATGGGGCCCCTGTGTCCTTGCCCAAACTCAAAAAAGCCTATGAAAAAGGTGCCCGGGTTTGCAAATGGTCAGTCCGCCCCTGGTCTGAGCGTAAACTGAGCTACCCATGTGCAGCTCAACAGACATTCCAAAGAAGACTTTAAGCAGGCAGGTAGGTTTCTTTTACTGCAGAAGAGACATTGCATGCAATTAGGAACCTGCCTGCTTACGGTTTTTGAAAGTTGGGCTTTAGTTAAGTTTTAACACAGATGCACCTTTCTTCCCTGATGAAGAGTTTGCTACCAGCCCTATTAACTTCATCCCTATGTGCCTCCATGTATGAGTTTCTCTATGGCCTTCTTTCTCAACTGCCTGGGGTGCCTTGAGGTTTCTTCAGGAGTGCCTTTTGCAAAATGTCTAAAAGTTGTCCAAAACTTATGACACAGGTTTTCATTGTGCACCATTACGACCTTCTAGCCGCTGGCATCCTGACAACCAATGACATCATCAGTTGAGAAGAAGGATGTCAGCTGCATGCAGAGCATCCTAGTTTGACCCTCCCTTCTCCATCAGTGCTAAGGTCACATTAGCTTAGTGATGGAGAGAAACTGCGGGCAAAGAGAAACACTGGAATACTAGTCAGTACCAGTGTGCAAAAGTGTATTTGCTTTGAAAGTATAAATCACCTCTAATTCTGGGTGTCCTACACTTTCTGGTGGATGTTGCTGTGTTATAAAAAAATTTTAGAACAGTTTTTCTCCTTTTACAATGGGTGCACTTTAGAAATTATGGACAGTCTTCAGGCACCCCATTCTAAAATGGAGTGCCTCAAGACTGTCCATAATTTTAAAGGGTGCCTCGGGACTGTCCATAATTTTAAAGAGTGCCTTAACTGAAAAAAGGTTGAGAAACACTGCTCTATGGTACAGTTTGCTATCTGCATAGAACAAGAGGGGCAGCAGGCAAACAACATAGATGGGTTAAGAATTTTGTAAGCAGTGACTGTAGCAACAGGCATAGCAGAGTAGGCCTTTCAACCCCTCCAGGTCCTGTTGGAGTTACAACTACTTGGCCTCCTTTTCAAAATGCATGATTTTAAAAAAAAAAAAAATTACCAGGAAAAAGTGTTCCTTGGTGTCAACAAGTACCCAAAACTGCAGTTCCTCTGTCCAGTAGGTTGCAGAACATGCAGGTCAAAGCTGAAAGTTGGGTTTGATCCCACAGTTTTCAAACACATATGGCATTATTGGAGAAAATAGAAAGTAGATCACTTACGTCTTCTGTGTCACAATGTATCCATATCTGTCATTGCTGGAAGACGCTACTTGTAGCTGTATTTCTTGCCTCATTTTCTTTGGCTTTTCTTGAAAGGATCTGTCATCTTGCGAAAAACTCTCCTGTATTAAGTGCTGATACTCAATTTCCTCTCTGGAATCTGAGTCAGACTCAGTAGATTTCTTCTGAGCAGTTAACTCTTTAGTGTATGTCTCACTTTTTACATTCTCAATGCCTGCTTTCTTTTCATCATCATCATCATCATCGTCGTCATCATCTGAGTTGTAACGGAAGTCTCCAAAGCTTTTTAGTCCTTTGTCAAATGGTTCTTTTAAGAATTCATGTGACACAGAATTTACAGTAAAGTCTTGCAGGTTTTCACTCTTTGGGCCACTTTCTCTATCCTGTTACAAAAAAAAAAAGGTAGATGTAATTTATTTCAAGAAAACATTAAAGAGTCATTAAACCCGCATCAATAAAAACTATCAATATATGCTGTATTACATGCTGTTCATACTCAATCAGTCACTATTGGATTCATTTTCTGTATTCTGCAAAAAACATGGTTGATCCTGCCGTTCTCTATCTCCCCTTCCTGTCCATGTCCCCACTGCAACTGAGGATTTGCAGTGCAGTGTTGGCAGCTAGTACACATGCTCAGTTTTCAGTGTATTTCTACCCTGAGCATTTCCTTCCCTATCACATCTGAGCAGCCCATGTGACTATAGAGTCTTACATATGGGTGTATACAGGCTTCACCTCCCTGTTATTCTAAGACACAGGCTGGAGAGGTGTGACATTCGCCCACACCCTGTTATTGCCAAAATAATAAAGATTTCATTTCAAATATATATTTGTATATAACAATTTAAAACAGTTTATTAATATCTATTTATATTTATTCTGTATCGCAAAGGTTGTTTTTTTTTTTTTTTTTTTTGAACATGCGACCAGCAGCAGAGAACTAGAAGCCTCTCCTGCCTGTTTCCCTGCAGACAGGCTTGGAAGGAGCTGGGTCATGTGACAGCTATATATTGATTAGGAAAAAAGGTACCGTATTTTTCGCTCCATAAGACGCACCTGACCATAAGACGCGCCTAGGTTTTAGAGGAGAAAAACAAGAAAAAAAATATTCTGAACCAATGGACTGCAGACATAGTACAGGAAGTGACCAGACACTGCGTACACAGTACAAGAGATGACCAAAGACTGCGGACACAGTACAGGGGATGACCAGAGACTGCGGACATAGTACAGGAGATGACCAGAGACTATGGACATAGTACAGGAGATGGCAAGAGACTGCGGACACAATACAGGAGATTGACCAGAGACTGCGGACACAGTACAGGAGATGATCGGAGACTGCGGACAGTACAGGGGATGACCAGAGACTGCGGACAGTACAGGGGATGACCAGAGACTGCGGACAGTACAGGGCATGACCAGACACTGCGGACAGTACAGGGGATGACCAGACACTGCGGACAGTACAGGGGATGACCAGACACTGCGGACAGTATAGGGGATGAACAGAGACTGCGGACAGTATAGGGGATGAACAGAGACTGCGGACAGTACAGATGACCAGAGACTGCAGACAGTACAAGGGATGACCAGATACTGCAGACAGTACAGGGCATGACCAGACACTGCGGACCTTTAAGGAGGGAGGGGGAGCGGGTACCTGAATTTGGCAGGTACCCGCTCCCACTTCCGCTGAGTTCTCCTTCCTATACTGTGGGCACCCGACTTTGACAGCCGGGTGCCCACTGCGCATGCGCGAGAAGCGCTGCGCTTTGTGAATGGCCCGGCATCTTTTGGGACCTGTCATGTGTCCCAGAAGACACCATTCACAAAGCGCCCAGCTCTTCTCGCGCATGCGCAGTGGGCACCTGCCTGTCACAGATGCCGGGGCGGGAAGAAGCCGACGCGGGAAGACTACAGCGCTGGACAGAGGAACAGGTGAGTTCCTGCTGCAGAGAATAGCTGAGCGGCCGGCCCGGTATTCTGACATGGTAGCGGCAGAAATACCGGACCGGCCGCTTTATATTCGCTCCATAAGACGCACTGACATTTTCCCCCCTTTTTTGTGGGTAAAAAAGTGCGTCTTATGGAGCGTAAAAAAATGGTACTTATATTTTTTATTGTTTTAACTAAAATAATTACAGTGCCATCATCCACATACAGAAAGAGAAGGGATAATGTAAATTAAACAGTGTGTGTTTAGAGCATAATTTGTTTTCGTTTTTTGCAGAATGCTTTACATTTTGGAATGGGGAAGAGCTACATTTTTTGATGCTTTTTATTTCTGTTTGTGACCTCATTGAGGAGATTTTCCTTTGCTGCTTGTTTCTTTGATACTAGCACCAGGGCCTAAAGGAACACTGATGTTGCATTAAAGAGAACAAACCTGTCATTAAAGTTTATGCCACATAGGACCTTTTTGTCTTCTATGGGATATAAATAAAGTTTTAGTAAAAAAGTGTCAAAAAATAAAGTTACACGCAAATTTTGAGCCCATCCCACACCTGTCAGAGGGCACCTACATACGAAAAGAGTGCTTGCATTATATGTTACACATCACCGTGCATGCCGGAATGTAATGGTCATTATTCACAATTAACTCCAAAGTGATGACCTGCAGGGGCAATGAAGGTCATCGTCGTCTTGTAGGCATGTGCAATTTTAAAGCTTGGCATGTTGGGTACCTTATTTATTTGCTTCATATCTTATAACTTACCAAAAAAAATGGGTAATATAATTTTGTGTGGCCTAAAATTAACTTTAGTGTTTTATTTTTATTTTTTTTTACTCAAAATGTGTGCTTAATAAACCATTGTGCAAATTTACATCATTACTGTCCTAATATGCCTTGTTCTGCATTGTGTCTCCGTGTGGAGGTAGCCACCTTGGTAGAGTTAGGTTTTCGCTGTCAGAGCCTCCAGCATAGAGAAGAGTAAACAGCACAGTAATTAGCAATCTCACTGAAAACCTCCTGTGACTAGCAGTGACAGACATCAGTGTCTTAGATCTTAAATTGTAGAAAAACAGCTATTAGGCTTTAGGCTCAGGACTGCGTAGACACCCTCAAATACCAGGTACAGCACTGCTATTTATCAGGAGGACTTCAAGACAGAGGGTACAGTTTTCAGGTTGCTGCTTAGAAAATTATGCTTTAAAATCTACCTTTAACACATCAAATCTTTACTTTTTGAGTTCAAGTAGAACTATAGGTAATTTTTTTTTTTTTCATTTTGGACAGAGCGAGGGAGGGTAATAATCTCTGTCATACCTTTAACACATCAAATCTTTACTTTTTGAGTTCAACTAGAACTATAGGTAATTTTTTTTTTCATTTTGGACAGAGTGAGGGAGGGTAATAATCTCTGTCATACCTTTAACACATCAAATCTTTACTTTTTGAGTTCAAGTAGAACTTTAGGTAATTTTTTTTTTTAATTTTGGACAGAGTGATAGAGGGTAATAATCCCTGTCAGATTTTTTTTTGCCATCTGTGTTCCATTTAGGAGATTTCCCTTCACTCCCAAAGCCAAACAGGAAGTGAGGGGAAATCCCTACAAATTAAGGGAATTCCTTGGGACCTCCCAGATCACCAAAACCCATTAGATGATTTCCCCGCTATTACTTTTCTGGGGACAACCCAAAATTTGGGATTTTCTTTCAATGATAACAGTCAACAGGGCAAATAGAGAGGTTGAAACTCAGTAACAGACAGCAATAAAAACTGACTGGTTCTAATCCCTCTGCACTTTATCCAAAACTCAAAAAAAAGTTTTGCCTTTAGTTATACTTTCAGGTTCACTATACTTACAGTATACTTCAATCATGCATTTCCAAACCACATTTTAATCTTAAAGGCAACATGCATCATAAAAATACCTTCATTTCAGGCTGTGATGGGTTTGTGCTTGTCCCTTGACCTGCAATAGAAATAATCAGTTAATAGTGATGGTTAGATACCCAAACCAAACCAATGATATAGTAAGCAATGATTTTACACGTTTCAACCAAGCTTAGTTTCAGAAGTCTACAAAAAACTAATATTTGACTATATGTTGCATGTTACTGCACATTATTACCTCTGCACCCTTGTTGTTTCTGTATTCACACTATTAGGTCGCAGTAATCTTTGACCATGCATAATACATAGTATGACTATGGTGTGTTGCAGTGCCACTTAGTTTGAGTGGCTTTTCACTAAACATAGATAGTGCAATATAATGCAAATGCCTCTGAAATCACAAATAGAGGAAGGGAAGACCAAGTCCAGAGTTGGACTTTAGAGCAGAACGTCACCCCGTACCCCTGCCCATCAGTTCTGTTGCACAGATAGCGTTAATGCCTCTTTGCATTTACACTCACCCGCCACTTTATTAAGTACACCTGTTCAATTGCTTGGTAATACAAATGGCTAATTAGCCAATCACATGGCAGCAACTCAACGCATTTAGGCATCTAGACATGGTGAAGATGACTTGCTGAAGTCCAAACAGAGCATTAGAATGGAGAAAAAAGGGGATTTAACTGACTTTGAACTTGGCATGGGTGTTGGTGCCAGACAGGCTGGTCTGAGTATTTCAAAAACTGCTGATTTACTGGGATTTTATTGCACAACCATCTCTAAGGTTTATAGAGAAT